ATGATATAATAAACATACGGAACTGATATTTGAAGTATGACAAGGATTGACTATAATAGAACCTAGTGTGCATAATTAACAAAAATTTAACAAAACAGACTCAAATTCAATATCGACGAAAGAAGGTTATTGCAGACACAAAATGGATGTTTCCCTCCAATTAATGTAAACATAAGTAAGTATGTATGGTTATACAGTTTCGAACAGATTTTGTCCTACATCCTTTCGAAACTTTTATTTTGGCATTGCACAAACCAATGATTTTCGCAGACTGCTTATGTCCTATTACCACTCAAATGCATGGATGTGAACTGATTGAAATTTAAGTCTGCGAAAATATTTCATTTTAGTAAGCATTGGCTTTGAACTATCAACTGCGAGTACTCTTAGATTGTTAATTTGTGTTTTTATTTTGTTATGGTTTTTTATGTGCTAAGTGTGGATCTGATGAGTCAGTCTTTTTTTTCAAATTGATTACCAGTTTCTTAATGCTATGATAGGAATCCACCTCTCAAAGGTCGTCTGTTTGGCTGAATTAGATGTATAGATATACATTCATATCATAACAATCTCCGACTTTATAATACGACATAGAGCTTGTTAAAGGTAAAAGTGCATGTAATCTATAATCATCACAAATAAAAAGATAAAGTTGACGCAGTTATATGCTGTTGATTTTATTGTTATTTGGTAAGGATGTATAAAACCTCAATCAAACTTTTTAACCTCAGTAAGCTAACGACCACTCATTTGTGTTTACCAAGAACATCTCTCATTTAAACCTAGGTATGACAAGTACATGTATTTATTTTATTTTGACACATTTCATCTAATTATATGTTCACAAAATATTACTTGATAAAAACTTTAGGTAAAACTTTTGATACTTTCGAGCACATTCTGTTTTGATTGTTTCATTGTTGAGTTAGATTATCCTTCGCAGTTTCAGTCTTGCTTTGGTCGTAATATGCTTCATTTGGCTGTACCCGTAGAAAACTTATTAAAAACGGTATTTCACATCCTAAATATTACGGTAACATTGTACTAAAAGCGCAGAAATCACTATGTGATCCGTGTAAACTCATCGAACCTTTGAACAAATTTATTAGTAAAGTTTATCTTATTAATGTTGTAATAAGATATTTGAATATTCATTACATTTGCATTAACATCGATTTTGTCATCAACTAATTAAAACATTACTAAATTTGTATTCTTTTCGAATGGTTTTTGGATGTATAAATACACATCCACGTTTGTTTTCTATTTAGAGATTGCTTTATCTATATATAACATTTTAAGGTTTAATCCCATTGATCCTACTGCATGTCGGTACATTTATTTTGGCATTGCACAAGTCATGTCTTCTTTGACTGTCCATGGCGTTAAAACGCTAAATCCCTGGGATGTGTTTTAATTGATTTTAGTCTCTGATGCATGATTTTTATTATTATTAATTGTTTTTGGCTTTTGACTAGCTTTCTTTTACTTAATTTTATCATCGGTACAAGGACATCATTCGTAAATATAAATCAGCATGCAGAGATCTTATACGTTCAGGTATTTCACATCCAATATTTTATGGTAATATTCTATACAAAGCACAAAACTGTCGTCATTCACCTAAAATACTAACCAAACCTTTAAACAGACTTATTCAGAAGGGATATAGTTACGATATTGTTGTCAGGTCATCAAAGATGGCATATTTTGGATTTAATATTGATTCACTCATAGGGTCTTTGGAGCGAAAATAAACACATCTATTCTAAAACCAGTTGTTGGCATGATACGGGTTATGTTCTTCTCATATATTTTATGATGGTATGATACAAAACCCCTAACGGGAGGGGTTGTGCTTGATTTTCATATGATGTAGACATAATCTTTTAATCAGTTTAATTGAGGTCTGGAGCTGGCATGTCAGTAACTGCTAGCAGCCTTTTATTAATTTATATATCATTGTCATTTTGCTTACTTTCTTCTGTTACCTATTCTGACATTGGACTCGGACGTCTTTTAAACTGAGTTTTACTGTTCGTATTGCTGTGTGTTTGTTTTTTCTACATTGGCTAGAGGTATAGGGGAAGGGTTGAGAACTCACAAAACACGTTTAACCCCGCCGTATTTTTGCGCCTGTCCCAAGTCAGGAGCCTCTGGCCTTTGTTAGTCTTATGTGTTTTTTTAATTTTAGTTCTATTATATGTTTTGGAGTTTAGTGCGACGTCCATTTTCACTGAACTGGTACACATTTTTGTTAAGGGGCCGGCTGTAGCCCGCCTCCGGGTCGAGATTTTCTCGCTGCGTTGAAGACCAATTGGTGGCCTTGGGCTGTTTTCTGCTCTTTGGTTGGGTTGTTGTCTCTTTGACACATTCCCCATTTCCATTCTCAATTTTATTCAGTAAAAAGTTATCAAAGGTACCAGGACCATAATTTAATACGCCAGACGCGCGTTTCGTCTACATAAGACCCGCCAGCGACGCCTAGACCAAAACAGCTACAAAGCCAAACAAGTACAAAGCTGAAGAGCATTGAGGACCAAAAATTCCAAAAAGTTGTAGCCAAATACGGCTAAGGTAATATATTCCTGGGATAAGAAAATCCTTAGTTTTCGAAAAAATCAAAGTTTTGTAAACAGAAAATTTATAAAAATGACCATATAGTTGATATTCATGTCAACACCGAAGTGCTGACTACTGGGCTGGTGATACCCTCGGGGACGAAACGTCCACCAGCAGTGGCATCGACCCAGTGGTGTAAAAAGTTATCAAAGGTACCAGGACCATAATTCAATACGCCAGACGCGCGTTTCGTCTACATAAAACCCGCCAGCGACGTCCAGACCAAAACTCCTACTAAGCCAAACAAGTACAAAGCTGAAGAGTATTGAGGACCCAAAATTCCAAAAAGTTGTTGCCAAATACGGCTAAGGTAATCTATTCCTGAGATTAGAAAATCCTTAGTTTTCGAAAAATTCAAAGTTTTGTAAACAGAAAATTTATAAAAATGACCATATAGTTGATATTCATGTCAACACCGAAGTGCTGACTACTTGGCTGATGATACCCTCGGGGACGAAACGTCCACCAGCAGTGGCATCGACCCAGTGGTGTAAAAAGTTATCAAAGGTACCAGGACCATAATTCAATACGCCAGACGCGCGTTTCGTCTACATAAAACCCGCCAGCGACGCCCAGACTAAAACAGCTACAAAGCCAAACAAGTACAAAGCTGAAGAGCATTGAGGACCCACAATTCCAAAAAGTTGTTGCCAAATACGGCTAAGGTAATCTATTCCTGGGATAAGAAAATCCTTAGTTTTCGAAAAATTCAAAGTTTTGTAAACAGAAAATTTATAAAAATGACCATATAGTTGATATTCATGTCAACACCGAAGTGCTGACTACTGCGAGTACTCTCGAATCGTACTTTCGTGTTAATTTGACCTGTTGACACAATTTTTAATGCATTTCTGTAATTCAATGTTTACTTCTTTTGTGTAAAATCGTTTTGAACCACCTTTGTATTTAGTATGACGATAAATTATTACTTCTGTACTCGTACTGTAAATAACAAATTTGTTAATTTTGTAAAAAATGTTTATTCGGTATAAATGATTATATTTAAATTTACCTGTGTACGTTGTTTTATTTAAAGCACGTCATTTTGTCCCAGGATAGAGTTGTCTTTTTGACACTGTTCCTACCTCTTTTTTATTAATATTGTATTGGTATTGTGTCATTGATCAAACTTATGTGAAAATTGCCATTGATATTGATATATTATAGTTCTTTTCTATGTGTGTTACATTTTAATGTTGTGTTTCTGTTGTGTGGTAGTTCTCTTATATTTGATGTGTTTCCCTCAGTTTTAGTTTGTAACCCGGATTTGTTTTTTTTTCTCAATCGATTTATGAATTTCGAACAGCGGTATACTACTGTTGCCTTTATTTATGTGTTCAGTGTATGTTTACTTGTTTTTGTCTAAATGTCTTTTTGATCGAATTAAGCCATTTCAATTGATATTTTATAGTGTTTATTTGTATGTTGTAGTGTCACACTACTGTCTCAGGTTAAGGTGAAGGTTGGCGCCTGTAAAAACTTTTAAACCCGCTGCATTTTTATGCACGTGTCAGGAGCCTGTTGTTCAGTGGATGTCGTTTCTTGGTGTGGTTCATAAGTGTTTCTCGTTTCTCGTTTTTTATATAAGTTAGACAGTTGGTTTTCCTGTATGAATTGTTTTACACTAGTCATTTTGGGGCCCTTTATAGCTTGCTGTTCGATGTGATCCAAGTTCCGTGTTGAAGGTCGTACTTTGACCTATAATAGTTAATTTTTTAAGGCAACACGTATTCTGTCAATGGGTTTTATTTGGATTTAACAAGTCTCCAACAGTACTGATGTTTGATTCAGTTCTTCCTTATTAAGAAAAATCACTATGTGTTTATTCTCAGCACACCAACGCAATTAAATGGCATTTTTTTATATCGTGCAAATAAATCAGATGTCTTTATTCCAAAAAAAATCTACCGGAACCATATTAATGTTTAATAGTTTCTATATTTGTTTATGTAAAATATGTAATGTTAAATGCTTGCTGCATTTCAAAAGTTTTAGCTATTTGTGATAATATGTTTTTTTTAGTAACTGTTTTATTATGTTTGTCATAATTTTGTATGTAACATTTTTATGGTGAATTACTTGCAGAATTTCAGAAGTTTTAATTGTTGGTGACAACACGTATGGTTTTAATGTTTGTTGGTTTTCATTAAAATACTTCGTTTAAATAGACAGACGTTGGTATAATTTGAATACTCTGTATCTAACCAATTTGAATTAAAAACGTAAAAACGTTTTTGATAATGTCATGTGTTTTACTTCCCATATTTATAATAACGTGATATATGTAATAACTGTAAACCTTGTTGACAAACATACTGCTAAGTTTTGGTTTGAGGTATACATGATAAAAATGAATCAATAATGAAAAAAAGAAGATATATCAGACATATATTTATTGAGGAAAACTTAAATTCGACGTATCATCATTGATGCATATTTCAATGAATATTCAGACCCTTTCCAAATCTCCCATTGCAACAGCCCATTTCCAGTAAAACCTTTTTTGTTGTTGGTATACGGACAAGTAAAGCACACTGCTTCACAACTAGAAAACCACCAACCACTCCCATCTCTTTTGAGTTTTGCACAATTTAGAGAGCTGTTCAGGTCATTATCATTATCTGATGTTGTAAATCTCCGACCATTATGGTGTCCATGTGCAAATGCATCCGCTAAAATACACAAGAAGAGGTAATATGCAGTCAGATTATAATGAAAACTTGTCTTCTTAATTTTGAAGCTCTTTTTTTAGTCTATGAACCTCTGAAATAATCAGGTACAATTCAGACTCATCAACATCGTATATCTTGATCATACATTTATGAAAAGATGTAAATTAGAGGCAGCGATGTTCAAATCATAAAAATGAAAATACAAATTAAGGTAAAAAATAAAAACGGAGTGAATCACATAAAGCCCAAAAGAAGGGAGATTGGTTGCGGCGACATAGTAATCATCTCCTGCTGTACATACATAACATACCATGTGAAACCAAATTCAGATAAAATATTGCAACCAGAAATAGGACATAATCGGCAATTTACAAATCAGACGGCTATTCTATAATGATATAAGAGCTCAACCCAATGTTGCTTGTGAGTTGACATACAGACGCACCGTATCGGTCAACCAATTCGCGATAGTGAGCGTAAAATATATAACTCTGTTGGCGAATTTTTCATGTCAGGAGCACACCCCTGTTAATAACACCCGTATTGTATGAACAAGAGTAAATAAGTCATCGATACATAGATTGTAAAAAATAAAACTGTTATATTGATTGGGTCAAATTGAGGTCAGAATATTATCAGTCATATATATAAACTATTGATTTTTTCAAATGTAGTCTTTGAATGAACGAATAATTTTGCAAAATATTCCGCTCAAACAGGTGCTAGGGGTCTTCTTAAACTTGCAGTGAGCTAAGGGTTTTTTTTTAGGTTTTTCTTTTTTTGCTCCGTGTTTAAGGCCTCCCTGTAACTTTGAGATGAAGAACAGCAATAAAAGCGCAGTTCCATTGCTTTATGTGTGTTATTACTTATGCATGCACTGATTTTTTGTCATGGATGGATACCCCATGTCCTTTGTTTTGTCTATTAAACATAACAATGGATTAATATGCATACCAATCGAGAATGTGTTTATAAAATGATATGCTACATACCAACGTTTCCTGTATATCCACCAACAGTTAGTCTGTATTTAGAGGCAGCATTTCCAACCTTGAATGTAGAGTACTTAGCTAATTTTTTTTCGCCTTTGAAATTTTCAATATCTACTCTCATTTCATTTTTTCCATTTGATGTCAATGTATGTAAGTACTTATTTCCTACAATATCAGACATAAATAATTCATGTGCCATCAATTTGCCAAAAATAAAATATAAACTAGAACAGTTTTAGACACATCAATTTTTATTTCACACGTTTGTAATATCTTATTCAACAAAGAGTTCTTAGAAGTCCACAGCAATTGTTAGAGATAAAAATGCACTTCAACAAACATAGAAGAAAACACGTGTGAGGGAAAAAAGCTAATAATGAGATTTAGTTTTTTGCTTTTTTACTGAAAAGAATACCATTCCTCTAGATCTTATTCCATGGAAGTTCATCATTATCAATTTACAACTAGCCTTTTGAAATACAACCAGTTACTATATGCTTCAATTACAGTCATGTATATTTGTAAATTTTATTTACTATACTTACCCAGCCAATATTCTCTATGAAGGTTTCCAAAACCTTTCTCATATTCATCCCACTTCTTGTTAAAATCCTGGGATCTATCCATTCGTCTTACAACTACCTTCGCACGTAATAAACATTAAATACACAAATATATATGGTTCATCTTTACATATTAAAAACCCATTTATTTATTAATATTATAGATTTATATAGTTGCAAAAAATCTTGATCTTTACCCCGACACTAAAGCCTACAAAATGAGTGTGAAGGGTGAGATTGAGTATTTCAACAGACAAATTTAATGTTAACAAAATTGTTGCGAACATGTACCTTATATCGATGTTTTCACCACTAAGATAAGCTAGATCTCATTTGACCAATACAAGGAAGTTAAATTGTAATGTCTTACATGCATTTTCTGTCTAAATTTGCCAATTTGTCTGTGGGCTTGCAGTTTCTATGTTATTTGTATATTATCACTTTTAACCTACTTTTTCATTTCGCCGGGATAGTTTTCAATGTGTAATATGTATGCGTTGTACGTACTATAATATTCGTAGTACGTACTATAATATTCGTAGTACGAACACTAAAAAGCACCTGATTGCGATAACAAAATCTTGATTTATTGCTTTTTATCCGTCAAGTTGACTATTTGTTCTATTCATTTATTTTAATAATCGTTTTATCCTTACAGTCCTGTATTACAATATATCTCTTTCTTTTTTTCAAATGAATAATATGTAATAAAAAAGAACCAGTAAATACCAAGGGACGTTTTGATAGTGACCGAAAATGTTAAAACCCTTTTCGACATTTTGGTCCCAAGAACACCAGAACTTTGTGAAGAACAAGAAGTAGCCTTCATTATTTTTTTCTATCGTTACTCATAACATAAGATAGACCTAACTAAATGTGACAATACATTTTGGATATTAACTCACTGTCCAACGTCCACCATCGGTTTTCATATCGCAATAAGCCTTGAAGCCTTTTCCGTTTGTCGGATATATCGTATATACCCCACTTGAGTCTAATTCAGGGTCCAAAACCGAACAGTCTTTTGGTCTTCGAACTGTGAATTGGAAAAATATGAAAAAACCCATTCCATGATATATCGAAAAGCAAATATAAAAATTAAGTTAAACAATATTGAATACCTCCTATTCATCTTATGTAGTACTTTAGTCTCTTAATTTCATTTTCAATTTTAATGGAATATTACATGTTACATGTTGTACGCCAATTTTGATTGGTTAATGTCTGGTGTCAATTCAATCATTACCGATCGGTGTCATTGAAAAACTACCATTGCACAATTATGGATTTAGCCATGACAATTCTTAAGACATGTTACTGTTGTTCCTAAATTCATTTACGATTAAAAATTCACAGTGGAAATTTGTGTTAAACTTGATCTGATTTTAACTTTGAAATCAACAACGTTTGGCACTCTAATCACAAACGATCTGTTATGTCCATACAATCGATTTACATAGTAATATGATAAAAATTTAGTACAAACCTGAAGGAGTGACTGTTCTGTATTTCCGGTTTGCAAGAATATCAAGAACACTTTCAGCAGTTTTACCATAAAAACAAACTCCTATAACATTCATCAACAAAATATATTTGGTTCATTGAATAACCATCACATAATTAAAACTAATATAAGTGATAAATTCATTACTGGTTTAAAAACAAAAATTGTTAAATAATCAGACCCCAAGGGTTGGATTTCTCCCGTCTGTCAGTAAACTCCTTGCTTAAGTTTGGCGTTCGATTGGCTGTGTGGAATGTGAAAATAAATAGCCACGTCCGGTAGGAATGGGGACGATAAATCTGATGCCTTTTATAGGGTGAATAGCACGCACTCTGCAGGTTAACAAACCCTTGCTACAAATTTATTAGGATTCTGTAGGTGATCTTTGGCAAGTCAAACTGTATGCCCCTATCTAACATACTATTAGTTTCCAGTGGCAGTCCAAATATTTCGCATTTCACCGGTTGACTCCTACCTTACAAAACTTACTTATTGTTAATTTGTATCCGTCCTAAATATGAAGGAAATATTTTTCATTTGACGTTAAACAAGCAACAATCAATCAATCATGTTGAATTATCGTGATGCTAAACAATATTGTATCATATTTTTTTTTATAAAAAAAACCGTAAATTTAGCTTTTTTTCTTTCATTGAAATAGCACATTACAACCCATTTGAAAAAAAAATATACATCTTTCATAACTTGTAATATAGTACTAGTATTAGTAATACACTGATTGTAGCATTACATGTCAATAAATAACAGAAAATTATAACCGTAATTGTTAGACACATATGTATATTATGTTTGCACAATTAATATTTTCACTTACTTATTTATTTATTATTTGCACAGACCAATGATTGGGTAATGAAGTGATGATTTATTCTAACTAAGCCGAACAATACCTGAATCTGATGTCGATGTCATCTGACGTTTGTTTGGAAACGCAACAACCAATATACTCAGATAAGCTGCAAATACTGACACTAACAATAACTTCTTCATTTTACTATAAGTATAGCAAAAAGTCATCAATGAGCTTTAAAGTTCAAACTAGACAACTACTTATATATGTTCAAGAATATTGCATGACACAGGTAATATAATAAGGCAACAGATATTAACAAGAAAAAGAATGAGGTTGAATTTGAGAATTATTTGAAGTAATTTTATGATTCATATTTTATATTATTATTTGAAATATCTGTTTTGTATACCACAGTTAAGTTTATAAATTTTTCATAAAGTAAACAAGTAAAGGTTTGATTAATAATGACAAATATGAGCTCTTTTTTTATTTATCTAAAACGTGTGAAAAGGCATAACTACGTTGTCTTAATACAAGATTAATTGATTGATTGTTGTTACTTTGCAAAAGGAGTATAAAGGCAACAGTAGTGTACCGGTGTTCAAAAGTCATAAATCGATTGAGTATGTTCGACTAGGGCCTTATATTGCTCCAAGTTTACGCTTTATTTTGAAATACAGATTTAATGGCGATTATCACAATATATCATAGGTCTAACAATGACGTGATAGGAAATAAGAATTTTGTTTCAAAATTTAAATAACAGCGTTTTTTATGACGTCATAATCAACATGAATTATAATTCTCTACTGAGTTCAATGAAAACATGCAAATTTCATTTGGCGTTTTGGGCCAGAAACATAAAGAGCATGCGTTGTCACATTTATCTTTGAACATAATGTTTGTAATAGCAAATAAATTATCTGAATATTTAGTTAGTCGAAAAGTGCGATCTATGTTTCCTATGCCCAATTGCGGTAAAAATTTAAACGAATTTTTCGATTCTGACATAAATCTCTATTTTCGACCCTTTTGCAGTGTAACTTTGTGAGAAGAGTCTCTTTCCCACACAAAAAAAAGGTTATTGTTATGAATTTTTGATTGAACTATAATGTTTTAACCTTAAATAATATTGTTTGAAGGTATTAAAACTATATATATATATATACAATAAACTTAAACAAAGTAATTGAACTTCAAAAAACTTTAAAATTCAGGTTCACCAAGATGTTTTTCGCGAAAATCAAGTCCAATGATCTGTAAAAATACGGAAAAATGAAAATTATTTTTTCATAATTTTTTTGAGACATTAATATATTATAAATAATGTTTGTATGCAAATTATGAGGCGATCCGTGCAGGTTAGATTAAGTTATCGAAAAACATTAACATTTGGGTTAACTAAGAATTTTTCGAAAAAAAAAACACATAAGTTCTGTACTTTAAACCTTATAACTGATAAATTAGTTTTGCATGTACATGTATAAAGGTTGCTGTATATAAAGATTGCTGTTTTTATCCAACACGCATATAGGTTCGAACGTTTGCTTATATTTAGACCTTTTTATAATCATTAGTCATATTTTAAAGTCATCAATCTTGACCATAATACTGCATATATTTGTTATCGAACGAAACTTTTAACGTCTTATTGGATTTCAGAGAGGGTCGGTTGCAAACCCTCCCCAATCACCGACCCCCTGTGTACGGGCTTGTACCAAGAATAATCCACTGCACGACCAATTCAAGTACAATTATTTTCTGAGATAATTCATCATGCATTCAAGTTAGCTGGACAGATGGATTCATGAACAGGGTATAACTATCGTTGGAAAAGGAGAAGTGAAAATTCAGTATACACGTAATTGTTTTATATATCGTACACTTGACGTCATTGAACCAATGGTGATAAATCTAAAGACATCTGTTCGACAGCGTTAAGGACGCCATCACAATTTGGTTGACTGTTATGGATAATCTTTGTCACAAATGACTACGAACGTAGTCGTAATCCGGACCACCTATCCTTGGATGTGATTTTACCGGAAACGACTAATCACCAGATTTCCAACTATCATGCGTGAAATGATGGGTGTCACTAGTGTTGCAGAATCTTCGTATCCTAAATTCACTCTTGTTATCAACGGTAGTCGTGTTGCCCAAACTAAAAATACGGAAAAATGAAAATTATGTTTTGATAATTCCTATATGATTTGCATATTAGGGAATACGTTAATATGATTGGTCGAGAGGGCTTCCGGTAGCAGCTCTTAAAGTAATTTATTTTTCGATAGACGACGTTGACGGAACTACTTTTTGTAACCAATGTAAACAAGATGGCGGCGATAATAACGCTCGACGATAGAAAAAATTATTTTCACTTCCCGTTGATCGTGTAATGAAATAATATACTAAATATTTATTTGAATGATAATAAGATATTAAATTATTTATTTTCACCATAAAAAATAAATGTTACTCACGTGCATGAGTCCGTCTGCTACTCACTACTGGACAAACAATGAAACCGGAGGTTATCTCCGACTCGGAGGTAGAAAATCTGTCACCACCGCCTGTAACATTTGAATTGAATTTTCCTGATGATTGGGATACTGAAGCAGTCGTTGAGCTTCTTGAGGTATTGCAGCAAGATGTTCCTGGCTTAGATGAAATGCTAGTTGAAGCTTGTCAAAGCATTGATACACACGAGATAACAAAGGAACCTGTAAATCCTCCTCAAATCCAGAATGACCAGAACCCTAAATTACCTCAAATCCAGAATGACCAGAATCCTAAATGACCTCAAATCCAGAATGTTCAGAACTCTAAAACAAATCAAAACCAAGAACAGCACACTGTAACACTAAACGACCAAAATACAGAGGATTTAGACACTGCTGAAACACATCAGGCTGAATTTCACCAAAGTGGTCACCTACCAAACACAAGCAGATTTAAGCAACTTGACGAGACAGCACTCTTAGACATAGAGAAAAACCAATACAGTGAAGCTTCTTAAAAAAAACCAAAGTGGGGAATAGGAGTTTTTAATGGTAATTAATCTATGTTATTATAAATTTGCTCCAAATGTTGACATTTCCACCAAACCTACCCAAGTAATAACCAGATTTGACATACAAATAAAAATCAAAAATGGCCATTTCAAGGAAAGGAGTGGATTATACACCAATTCTTCAAAATTAATACTAACCAAGAAATCTCACATTCAATACACTAAAGCAAATAACAAAATAAATAGATTACTACATGTACCACCAATATATTACCAATAAAATATTGCAAATTCCTAAATTAGAAATAAAGAAAAAGGATAGAATAGTAAAATGAACATTTTTTGAAGTATAGTGACTGTTAATCTAAATATAAAAGATACATGTATCAACCAATGATTTTTCCCTGTATTTGCAAGCTGCAATTTACCAAAATTGTATGCGAATAATTTTTCTTTATCTGTTGTGCTAGGAAGGAATCATGTTTATTTTTAAAATAGTGATGAGGTCAATTAAACTTGCCTACCATGTATCCGTCCCAATATTTGCCAGATTCACATTAATTCCTAAAATTGTTGTAATTTCATTTTCAGCTTGGTGTTCAGAAAGATTACAAAAAATTCTTGATTTCAACACAATTTCTGAGGAGAATCTAAATGAAAGCCTTCGCAAATTTTATGCTGAAGCCCAGCCCAAAAATTTAAATAAAAGGATACAAAGTATGCCTGAAAGTATGGCGCAGGAATATCATAAAAATTCCCTTAAGAGTGTACGTTCAGCAATTAATAGACACCTGAAGGACATTGGTCGCAACATTGACATTGTTCGAGACAAAGACTTTAAGTTAGCAAATTCAATGCTTAGTGCTAAGCTTAAATTCAACCTTCGTAATGGGCTGTCTCGTCCAACTCAGCATCATGCTATCATTTCGAACTCTGAGTTACAGAAAATAAATGAGTTCCTTTCTACAAAGAATAATGTTGTTGCACTTCGATTTAAAGTCTGATATGCCCTAGCAATACACTTTGTTAGTCGTGGTATTGAATTTCACCAACAGTTATCAAAGGATTCAATTAAATTTATAAAAGATGAGGAAGGGAGAGAATACCTCACAATAACACATGAGACACACCAGAAAAACTACCAAGGTGGTATAGAAGACTCCTCAGAAGAAGCCGAAGACAAAAGAATGTACTCAACTGACTCAGATTCATGTCCGGTCCAAGCTATTAAACTTTTTTTGTCAAAATGTCATCCAAATTCAAAAAGTGTGTTTAATCAGTGTAGTCGAGATGCACTTCGTGGCAATCCGAATCATTATTCAGTTTGGTTCACTGAAACACCAGTAAAAGTCAAAGCATTTACAAATTTTATGCCGGATATCTGCAAAAACGCTGGGGTAAAACGGTACACATCACATTCCCTACGGTCAACTGCAATAACTGCAATGAGTGATGCTGGACTAACAGACAGAAATATAATGTATATGTCTGATCACAAATGTGAGGAAAGCCTCAAGTCCTATTGTAGAAGACCTAGCAATGAACAAAAACAAAAAATCAGTGCCGTCCTTGATACTGTTGCTACCGGTTCAGCAAAGTCAACCTCTCTTGTGCCAAGTAAAAACACGCAAATTCAAGCACCAACAGTTCAGCAAGGCAACTTACCTTCTGAAATTGGACTCCGTGATAAATCTCTTGTTCCAGTGTCAGCCGAACAAAATCCTCTTCAACCTGTTTATGCGCCTCGTCAAAATCTTATGGTTAACAGTCAAACAAACCAGGAACTGAGTAAAATGTCGGGGTTTGCGGCAAATTCCGTTTTTTGACAACTGTAATTTCCATTTCAATTGAACTGTTGAACATGACTTGCCGTGTGTAGTGGCTGTGTGTTGATGACCTACATTTCACTCATTTGTACTAAATACTTTCAAACCAATGACGGTGACAAACATTTTTTTATCAAATTGCAAATTTAATGGGAGTATATTTTGTTGCGCTTACCAAGAAATATATTCATGCGCGAGGCCAATTCAATGACACAAATACACAATATTTGTGATAGAGGTTACGAGTGGGGAAATACAATTTCTTATCTCTAATTTTAAAGAATTATAAGGATTAAACGCCTTTATAAAGGAATTTATTGGTGTATAAACTGGACCAAGTCACTCACAAACATATCATAAAAGTCCTTCGGACTTTTATT